ATAAGCAGGAAGGCTTTTTTGATGGAGTTTGGTTTTAACTTTGCAGGCACAATAAAGAAGGCATTCCCAACGGCAAACCACAGTTAAAACTAAGGAATGCAACACAGGCCACAGAATTCAAACCCATACCACTGGGGAAATGTAAGGCCAGCTGGACTCTGCCACACAGACCTGCACTGAGCTTTTGAGAAGACAAATGGCCCTGAAATTGCGGGGAAAGCTGAAGGCACACGGAGGAGAAAGCACATCTTAGCAGTGCAGGGAGGGGTGAGGAAGAGGCTTGCTGCAATAGTCCTGAGAACAGACTGCAAACAGGCATGCCATGCATAGCTAATGGCATGACTGAGAGACAAGGTAACATATGATTTGCAGGGGTCTTGAGCAACATGCAGGTCTTTGAAGATGTTTACAAACCTGTCCAGAAGGTGACGGTGCTTCTTGTTTATTCAGCTGCTTCTTTGTCTTGGGTTTTATGCTCTCCTTTCCCACCAGACTCTCTGTCAGGTCTGAGCTCAGCCCAAAGCTCTCTGGATCCTCACAGAGTTTCTCGTAGATCTCCAGCAAACAGTAAGCATCTGAAGCTGAAGATACAGGAATATGAACCTCAGCATCCTTCCTGATGCAAGGAGCAGCCCTCACCTTTGTACAAGCCACTGAATAAAAACCACCTGTGAGGCTCCAACTTACTAATGTCATAATCTTTTACTGATGCAGTGAGCATCACAGCCTACCACCACCACAGAACCAAGGCAGAGGAGCTCAAAAAGCCACAGGTTCTCTGCTGTCTCTGGCTCTAACGCAATGCAAACTGTAGTGTGCCTGTTCCAACCACCTTAGATAGCTTCAGCCAAGCCATTTTACTCTCCATTGTTCCTGAGCAGCAGCTTGCCCATGGTTTATTACCGCATCCCAGCTCTGGGAAGGTAACTTCCCCTCAGATGCAATATCTGACAAAGTAATAACTGAGTTGTTTGCAATCCCCTGCCCACACGCACTGCCATGCGGCTCCTGCTCCTTGCAACGGGAACTGTCTAAGTGTCCAAGCCAGTTTTACGAGTCCTGATGATTAACTTTGGTGGGAACTGTGTCAGCTTCAAGGATAGCTGAATTGAACACAGAGCTGGTTCACTTCAGTAGACTGTCCTTTGATGCCCCAGGAAAAGACTGAGATGCAGACTTCTGGCTCTGGGGTAATCAGCAATAAACTCCACTGGTCGCTCCACAGTACTGAGTCTGTGCTGCAGTTTCTGACACCACGTCTACCCATGTTTAACTGCTCTAACAAGCACTTCACTGTGACAAATGAACACAGCACTTGTTTCCCAGAAAGGCTGTGTAATGAGGCAGAAGGAAGTGGACTTTCTTCCTTTCAGTTACTGAGAGGAGTTTCCACTGAGGTGATGTTTCATCAGACAAAATCTTTTATAAGGGAAATAATGAATCACTGGACAGTTTAAACATCAACCACTAAAGCCATGTCCACAAAGGACAAACACAAATGTGCTGGCTTCTCTGAGCAAGATCTAATCTGCAAAGCCACTTTCTTCATTTGCTACCAAGTGATTTTCCCGGTGACAGAGAACAACCCCGCCTGTAATGGACAACCTGTAGCACCTTGCCACAGTCAGAGACCAGACCTGCATAGAGGATCTGCTCCTCCCGGAGAGGCCGTTTCTCCCAGTTAGAAAGTTGCTCTGTTTTATCTAGTGGTTTCCCCAGCACATGTTGCACCAAGAGGCTGAGTCCTTTCTCTGGCTGCTTGACCCCTCTCCCCTCATAGCTCTGCTCCAGAGACAGGACATTGACCTCCTGAGCACCCTTCTTGCAGTCAATGGAACGCTTCTGCAGCTGATGGAAAGAAAAAGAGAGAAACCACATGGTTAGAAACCAACCTCTACAATATCTCCTGTTCCAGTGGGTGGGGCCATGCAGCAACCCTATCATCTTTATCTCTTGCCTGGCATATTGAATCCCGTTGTCTCAGACAAGGGCTGGGATGGCATTAGATATATATGGCGTCTGGTTATTTGTTTAACAAACACACTTGCTGGAAAGAAATCTGTTTCATAGCCAGGGATGGGAAAAGAAGTGCATTGTTGTACAGCATTGCATCAGAGCAGCCACAGCAGAGTGGGGCTGTGACTGGGACTCCTCAGAGCTTTGCAGGCTGCTCAGCCATGCTAGCAGCTGTTGGGCACCAACTCAGTAAGAGAACAGCAGCAGCAGTTCAGCACCTTTCTCCTCCTAGTTCCAGTGAGTTTTGCATTCCTGTGCCACAGTGGGCAACAGCCCTTCTGCAGCTGCCATGTATCAGATTAAACTGAGCCAGTGGCTCTTGGCAGGTATCTCAGACCCTGCAGCATTTCCCAGGTTAAACTATCAGTCCCAAAGATCTGGGTTCACTCCAACCCACAGCCTTCAGCACACTCCACATTTTACCCATGAAAATGGTTGAACTTAATATTTCTGCAGATACAGAAACTGCGCAGAAACTGCAGATACAAACTGTGTGCAACCCCGGAGAGAGCTGAGCAGAAATCTCTGGGCTGAATCCACCAGCAGCCCTCCTGTGAGCATTCGCTCCGTAACATCTGCTTCAATACTGCATACTCTTGGAATGACAGAATTCCTACAAGAATCTACTTTTTACGACTTGTGCTCAGCCACCATCCCCTACCTGAATGGAGCTATGTCTCCCTTGCAATTGCTCTTTCCTAGCTTTTATAAAGGCTATAAAACAGTTATTGGTATATCAAGCTCTAACTTTTTAGTTGAAAACTAAATGCTTCTTTTTAGAGAATCACATTACCCTCAACATCATAAGTGGAAAAGGTCTGTTTTCTCATTTAGCCATCTCCCTGCCAATACAGGATACAAAAAGACAATGCTGTGAATTCATGGCAGTTATCTACAAGCAAATGCAGGAGACACAGTTTTCCATAACTTCATGTGTTCATCCTTACTCGTTTGTCTACTGTGAGTAGGTCCACCACACCTTGTGCTTTCTTATCTGTGTCTTTCAAAGCAGACCATGTGGCTGCAAGGTTGCTAAGGTCTCCAGACATCCCATAACCTGGAGGAAAGAAAAGCCCAAATCACACAGGTAGCAAAACTCAGATTGTGGGGCTGATGCACTGCAACTTTTTCTAGTTCAGAGTCACAACACTGACAATATCTGTATGAACTCGTGGAAAGACTGTCCAGACAGGGAGCAAGGCAGGCTCCCGACTCTCCCGTTCCTAAAAGATCGTGCAGGTCTCTCCTTGATCTTGCAGATGAAGACTGGGACAGAAGAGGTGGATGAAAAAGGTGGAGTTTAAGATCAACTTACTTACAGTTTTGAATTTGTGCGTGAATTCCAGATTTAACAACTCCTGCCAAAAGCCTCCAGACAGGTTCTAAAGACACATATGGTAAGTTGGAGAGCTCTCGTGCCCAGCACAGCAGCCTTGGGACAGGGCCAGCAAATCTTGAAAGCTCTGGATGGCAGACTTCCCTAGACCACTGGAGGCTGGGTGCAGGTCAGGGTTTAGTGTGGAACTAAAACTATCCCAAGTCCGAGGGGGGTTCTATGATATCAGAAATCTGGGGTCTGACTTGAAATGGGAACACATTTCCATCATCCCCCTGCTTCCTGGCATGGCAGTGCTTGAATACCCAGGGTTACAAAAGCTGGTTCCATGAAAAGTGAATCTGGAGAATGACAAATCCAAGAGGATCTAGGAATTGTACAAAATAAGCTGGAAAAAGACCCGAGAAGAGACGCACATTACCTAATTTAGTGATGGATGAATCTGAATAGAGCTTCTGGATGAAATTGGGAAGCTTCTCCTTCTCATCATCCACCTCAGTGTGCTGTAGCAGCTGGGGCAGGTCAAGCAGGAACACCTCATCCTTCAGAGCGATCTGAAGGAGGGAGACACGGGGCTTCCCAACCATGCCAAACGAAGGCCTCCACTCCATGTCAATGCCAACAACTTGCGCAGGCTGCAACACAGACAAAAGCCTTCTTCACTTACGACTGTACACTTAGAATCCCAGACTGGTTTGGGTTGAAGGGACCTTAAAGCTCATCCAGCTCCAACCCTTGCCACAAGCAGGGACACCTTCCACTAGAGCAGGTTGCTCCAAGCCCCTGTGTCCAACCTGGCCTTGAACACTGCCAGGGATGGGGCAGCCACAGCTTCTCTGGGCATCCTGTGCCAGCACCTCAGCACTCTCACAGGGAAGAACTTCTGCCTCAGAGCTCATCTCAATGTCCCCTGTTTAAGTTTGAAAGCAGCCTGAACAGTCCTTGTCCAGAACACAAGCATTTCTCTACCAACAACTGCAGCTCTTTGCTAGTGTGCAAACTGCTACAGAGGCAGTAACTTCCACAGCACTTCCATAACTTCCTGAGTTACCCCTGCAGGGACCTTTCCTGGCACAACAATTCCCAATGTGCTGCTGAAATTGGACAAGCCTAAGGGAAGCAGCTGTTCTTGACTTGAGGAGGGAGACATTTGATGGCAGTGGCCAGCATCCAACCCTGTGTCCCAGCCTGCTGTGGAGTTTGTGTTCCTTGAGTCTGCAAAGTAAATACCAGAGTAACACTCACCTGCAGCACCTTTTCCCAGCACTGCAGCGTCTCTTCCCATGTCTGCAGGAAGTGGATATTTGCCCGTGGAATGGGAAGTTGGTAATAGTCCTTCTTCTTACTCTCTTCATAACTATCTGCTTTTGTGACTTCTTCAACTCTGCACAGAATCAGATGCAACAGCTTTAGGGCATGTAATGAGAGGAAATCCTGGATTGGAGGTACATCAGGAAGTCTTAAGCTCCTTAATTCCCCCCAGCCCTCCATTTCCCCATGGTACTCAACTCTCTCACCCTCTCCTTTCTCACTTTCCCTGCAATCTCAGTCTCTCTCATCCTGTCTCTTGATTCCAGCCACAGCAATGGCTCTGTACCCAAGACCTCACCACACATGTGCACTGTGCCCACTGCAGAGTGCACCCAGTCCCAGACACTTGCTGGAGCCCAAGTCCTCAGCCCTGTCCTCAGTGCTTAGCTCTGTTTCCCAGAACTGATGCAATGTGGATGACAAAGTTGGGCAGCTCTTTCCACATCCAAAGATAACACCTTTTAGATTTACTGCTTTTTGCCCTGGAGGTTAACATGGAAGTCTGCTGGCTCCCACAGTGTAACAGAGCAAAGAAGTCAGCTCTGACCAGTCCTCTGTCCAAATAGGAGCTTTGCACTTCCCCACAGCACAAACTGCCTCCGTAAGACTCTCAGACTGCTCTGCACTAAGGTCAAAACCAGCTGGGAATGAATGAATTTGCCTCATTATTTCATAGTGCAACAGCTTGGGAAGGCTTCACGAATGTCCCTGTTGCCACCCAGCTTCTTCTCCTCCGTCCCCTTCCCTGTAAAATGACCCCACACGCTGCACAAGAACATTTGTCCTGCACTGCACAGGGATGAAATGAGAAAAGCTCAGAAATAGTTTCAAATCCATCTAGATTTAGGGGAAGACAGCCCCAGAGTGAGCTTGCGCTGCATTTTCTGCTGGGCTTTCAGATGGCACCATGCAGAGAAAACCAGTATCTGTGAGGAATACCCTAGGAAAGTTGGGAGATGCAGGAGTGAGCTAACTGATTTCCTATGGCAGGATCTTACACAGCACATTTTCTTTACAAAGTGCAGCAGTCTTTTGCAGCGGCCCTGGAACAGGGAGGTCAGCACATTGCTCGGGTGTCTCAGTCAGATGATGCAATCAGAGGAAAGAAACTAATAACAAATATCCAGCTCTTTTGGACATATCACAGATTTCTGGATAGTCTCTTTCCCATAGAGACTTGAAACCATTTATTAGTTGAGGAACTATTTACTAACCTTCTGTTTAGGGGCTGTGTGACTAATTCTGTAGCACAGCAGCTTCCCCTGCACAAACACTCCTTCCCATGGGTTTGTGTGCATGGGGAAGTCAATATTTGTGTAAAGTATTTAATGAAGGGTGCAGCCTCAGGTCTCCAGGAATATTCTCACCTGCAGAGTTCAGGAGCCACATGTGGTGTGAGCAGTGGCAGAGCTGATGTCATTCACAGACTGGTACCACCTTGTTCTCTGCAGTGTGAACATCCTCTCTGGGAACCTGCTGCTTTGTTAGCTCAACAGATAAGGCAGACAGCCTGTTTGATTGGGTTCCATGGCTCTGCTGACTTGACAGCAGCTACTACAGCAGGTGCAGGACTGGATGAGCAAAAGGGTTTTACCCATCTGTCACAGTCCTCATGAGCAGCAGAGCACATCCCAGTCGGCATGCCTTCACTCCACCCGCACCTGACACAGGATTCCCAGAGCATAGGGATGATGTGATGGTTTTTATCTTTCTAGATGCACAGAGTCTGTGGCTAAATCACACTCCTGTCAACCAGCCCTTTCTGTTTTGAGGGATTACCCCTCATGCAAAAACCTTGTGGTTCCACAGCTGGTGGAAGAGGGCAGCTCCAGCGGTGCCCCAGAGCAAAGCAGAAGCATGTCGTAGACAGACAAGAGTTTCCTGTGCTCCAAGAAAGCCATGTTCATCTGCAGCAGTGGGCTCTGCAGATGGTGTTTCGAGTGTGATTACATGTGTGTCACATTTCCTGAGGTTACATGGGGCTTGAACACGAACCAGTGCAGATCTACATTATGGAAAGATCAGATCCAGGAAGCTCAGCACACAAACCCTTCAAGGCCATCTGTGACACCCTCCCAAAATCATCAGCATTAAACAATACTAATACACTGTTTTCTCATTAACCTTCTGTGTAATTCAAATCAATCAAATCTATGCTCAAAAATTACAATTTTTAGTTATGAAAGCTGCAGCTTTTGCAGCTCTTCTGGGAGAAGGAAATCTGCTGTGATTTTGAAGGCAGCAAACTTGATGTAAACCTGTTAGAGCAGGTAACCTGGTCAGTCTCAGCCTTGGTCATCTTAAAATGGTCTCCTTATCCCCTAGCAAGATATTGGTGTTAACCAGGCAGCCAGTGACAGGTCCTAACTGCTGGCTGGAGTTTGCAATTCTGGCATATGGCAGCAGTAGGGAAGTTTTGCACTAAGAACATAAGGTAAAGGAAGCACCCAAATCATCCCATACAACTGCATGTTCTGCAGGAACAGGAGAAAGCCCCAGACCACGTGAGGCAGGAGATGAGCATGGGCACAGGCATGGGCATGCAACTCATGCAACAGCCACGCCGAGAGGGACGCTGCCTCTGTCTCTCACACCAAGAGAACAGGGCTGAAAGTGTCCAACTTGCTGATCATCAGCTCTCTGCTGGCTTTACTCCTCCCCGAACAGGCAATGGATAACGCTTCATCAACTCCTCCTGGACATGCAGTCAAGTGCAAATCAAGTTCAGATTTCCATCATATACACTGAGAAGTTCAGCTCCATATAGGAAGTTACTCCCTTGTATTACAGCATGCTAAAGATACAGGCTATCAGCTTGCACAGACTTGCAAACAGTTACCTTGTGGGAGTGGTCAAGGTTTTCCCACAAACTTTCCTCTAATCTCACCTGGCTTCTGAACTCAAAATGCCAATAATGCTAAAAAAATCCCAACACATTCCACCAGTGAGGGTGAGAGACATCAGCAATGGTGCCAAGTCTGAATAAGCGGAGATTCAGATGAGCTCTGAGGCAGAAGCTCTTCCCTGGGAGGGTGCTGAGGTGCTGGCACAGGGTGCCCAGAGAAACTGTGGCTGCCCCATCCCTGGCAGTGTTCAAGGCCAGTTTGGACACAGGGCCCTGGAGTAACCTGCTCTAGTGGAAGGTGTCCCTGCCCGTAGCAGGGGCTTGGAACTGGATGAGCTTTAAGGTCCCTTCCACCCAAACCATTCCATGATTTTGATTCTAAGCATCAAGCACAACACCTGGATTAGGGTGACTGAGGTATATGACAATGGAAGAATCCTAAGGAACCCCAAAATCACCACTGCTTCCTCTCTTCTGGTTTTGACAAAAGCCTGGACTCAACATGGAAACACACCACTGCTCCTCAAATGACAGCAAGGCTGTGAGCAGTGCTGCTTTCCAACCTTGCAGCCCAGAGTTCTGCATTTGCAATGAGCATTCAGGGATAAGCCCTTTTCTGTGCACAGAATACAATTAGGTAAATGCCTGCACATGAAATGCTGCTCAATTGTAGCAGGCCAGTGAGGTGACTGCCTGATTCCTCTGAACCCAAATGGTAGCCTGCAGCCGTGCAGGAGTTCAGCCCACAAACACGTGTAGGCACACAGCTGTGTGGTGCTGGACTACCAGCCAGCCCAGGTTCCAGCTGTGTGCAGTCCTGGCTGAGATCCTAGCAGGACTCTCATGCAGTACCATCTGCAAGCTCTGCAGCTCCCCAGGACTTGCAGCACTTGCAGATATGCAGGCCTTTCTGCAGGGAAAATAAAAAGTTTAATAAAGGGTGCCAAACGTGGCTATCTGAATAACCTGCTTAAACACCTCGTAGACAAAGTCACCAAAGCATGGAGATACACCACCACTCATGTGAGTGTAAATGTGAATTACTGGGACTCAGCAAATCATTTCCATTGAGACCTTTTTTCATACAGAGCCTTTCTTCTTCCATCCAGCAGAGTTAAGCAACTGCCTGGAATATTGGTCCATGAAAATCTTGGCCATTTTCTCAAAGAGTCATAGCACAGAAGACCCAGAACCAAAACTACAAAGCCCCGCTACTCCTCCAGCTCTGGCCTGCTGTGGGGATCAGACACAGCTCCCAACACTTTAGGTGGCTTGCATGTGCCTTCAGAGATTTTCAGTCTCTTTTCAACTTCACACAGCTTTATCTCCACACAGCATGGAACCTGGCCACCCTCCTCCCTCCATCCTGCCCTCTGCTCCTCCTACACCAGCAGGTGCACAGAGGTCCTTGACTGGGCCTGTTTGCATAGGTCTGTGCACTTGAAATCAAGGAGCTGTAAGAACTCTTTTCAATATAAGGAGTTTTCAATTCCTTTTTTTACCTCTGCCTTTGTACTGTTGTTTCAGGTCATGCAACAGGATGAAGCTCCCGTCGGGGGAGGAACTGCAGCTATTTCAGGCTGATGTGCTGCACACAACATGGGGGTCCCAAGGCAGGAGAGGAACCATGGCACTGCATTATTGGGATTGCAATAGAGGAAGACAAGGGGACAGAGGCTAATTAGGGGGCTAAGGGCTTCTTAAGCTCACTTGGTAGATTTGTGGCAGTGAGTCTGTTACTATCCCAAATTAAATGAATGCAACTCTTCTGGGATCTGACCCCAAATGTCAAAAATTCCCATTACTTCTGAAAGCTTTGCATGAAGCAAAAATTACAGACTGGGATGAAAAATGGCTTATGAGCTGTCAAAGGAGGGAGAAAATAAGTGTATTAGAAAAATCTAAGGAACTTTAAAATGATTTCCTTGGTCCTAAGTCTCCTAAAAGCCATTAAATCAGATCACAGTACAGTAGGGATCAGAGAGTAGAGCAAACTGTGACAGATGTGTAATCAACTCAGTAGAATAAACAGATACTCAGATCCTACACACATCATCTCATTTGCACTGTTGATCTGGCAGAGGGAGTCTGAAGACTGCCCCCCCCCCGCAGTGTGTAACTGTCTCATACAGCTTCTAAGTACTCAGGAGTGAGTTTAAAATGCACCTTCACAGCCATTTCCAGGCTGATGAAAAGCAAACGCACCACGTACATGGCCCAGATGTGATCTGAGTAAATGGAGGAAGATTCTGCAAAATCATCTCCCCAAGGAAGCATTATGGCAGATTATTTTAAGCAAATACGTATTCCTTGTATCACAAGCACTGAAAAGGCACGAAACAGTATTTACCTCTCTTGGATCTGAAGCTTTTGAAGCTCATCAGCCAATCTACAAGGCAGCATCTCCTTGGGCAAATTGCAGCGTTGGGCCCATCTTGCTGCCGTGTTCAGATCACAGTAACTGGTGAGCAGCTGTATCAGGTGCCCTTGAAGCCATTTATTCTCCCCAACTGTGCTCTGAAAGGGGAATCAAGGGAGAAGGAAGACTGTCAGAGTAATTTCCACAATGGGTGTTTTTACCCCCAAGGAGACAGCGTGTCCCAGGGGTCCTGGGCTAGTGCAGTAAGGAACAAGCATCCCCCCACTGCAGGAGCGGTGTTGTTCAAACCAGTTAGTGCTGCACTTCTCTGCCAAGAGATGAAGAGCAGATACTTTAACTGAGAGCTCACTGGAGTACTTGGGATCCCTTGCCAGCACAGCTATCTGTCCAGGGAACACCACTTTGCAGGTGTGGCACAGAGAAGCAAGGGTAAAGAAATATACCAGTGTGACTGATGACTAGCATTTTATTTGCTCAGATACTGATTATATTAAGCAAAATCAAAACCAGTGACTGACAAGACAGTAAAGGTCTTTGGGCTCATTATGCAGGTAAATTTGTACAATCACAGACTGGTTTGGGTTGGAAGGGACACTAAAGCCCCCCTTGACCTGCTGCTCATGCTCTGGGGGTGCAGTCCAGCACACAGGCAGGTCCTGGGCTCAAGCACACACTGAAGCTGGGTCATGGGGAGCTTCTCTGCACCCAGCACCCCAAGTCCTTCTCCTCAGGGCTGCTCTATCCAGTCTCCCCCAGCCTGTATCTGTGCTTGTCCCAGAGCCTCTCAGCCAGATGAGCAGTTCACTCCTCTCGCCAGTGATTTACACATGGATCTGCCTTAGAAGTAAATATTGTCAAGAATATTTAATTGCCAAAACAAGTTGAAATTGCATGGAGGATCAGGATTGTGAGGTATATGTAGCAATATGACTACATTGCTGCAGGCACCACCACCAAATATTTTTCAGTGTGGTAAAATGCACAGATACACACTGAAAGCCCATCCCCACCCTCCACCCATGCCCCTGCCACCTCTCCCTCCTTCACTGCCACCACACAGCACTTGCAGGGTCAAAGGCTGCTCCCAGGGACCCCAGGCACCTTCCTCTTCCTCCCTGTGTGTACAAACACAGCCGGGCTGGGTGGGAGGCTGGGGCCACGGGGTCTCATTCCTCACATTCTTTCAGTAACTAGAAGGTGAGAAGTTGTCTTCAAAGCAGACACCCTGCACAGGGATCAGGAAACAAACCTGTTGATGGCTCCAGGGGAAAAGGGAAGCAAAAAAGAAAGCAAAGAAAGAATGACCCACCCCAGAGAGGTGCAGGAGGGGGTAGAGGCTTGGAAGAAAAGCCACGGAGAAATCCAGCATCCCACGAAGTGCAAGGAGAAGCCAGCCTGGTCCTAAGAACCTCAGCCTCAGCACAAAACCTGCAGCCCTGTTGCTATGCCAAATGCCAAACCACATTTCTTCTCATGGTTATGTGGCAGAATATTGTTACTGCTGCTCCTAGGAGGCTGGTGGCACAGCAAGGAGCTGGTGTGAGAGGGACAGAGGTCCAGCAGTTAACCAGGGGCTGAGTTATGGGGAGAAGCAGGAAAGGGAACGGAGGGAAGGGGCAGAGCAGGGGAGGACAAGCTCTCACCGTAACCCTACATTTCCTCCTGAATGTTTCCTCCTGGCCATGCCAGTCCTCATACATGTGCATCTCTCTCATGTCTGCGTCATGCAACCAAGCTCAGCCAAGCACCTAACACATGAAGGAGCTTTGAATCACTCCTGCCCTGTCTGTCAAGGCAGTTCTCAGACTCCTTCCCCAAAAGAACATATTTTCTCATTAACATCCCAGAGCAATTCCCTCTTGTAGCTTCCCCTGTGTCCATCCTATTGTCTTTCTGCCTTTTTTCTAGAACACAAACTCTGGGTTGGATCTCTCTTCAGTTCACCCCGAGGTAATGCTTAATAAATCTCATCCTGGCAGCTCAGTCCTGGCAATAATGAGGTGCAGATTGCTATTTTTTTCTTTTTTTTTTTTTTTAATTTTAACCATAACAGATTTATCCTTTCAGCCACAAAACCAGCTCTGGACAGAAGGTTACTCTCTCCAGAGATATTCCATCTTGCATTCTGAGATGGAAAATGGCTTTGTTTGGTTTTTACTGACAAAAAGCCCCAACATTGCTCTAAAGGTGAAAGGCTTCCACCACACCAGCTCTGCA